TTGAATTTGGGAGCTTGCAGTTAATCAGAAAAACAATTAAAACCACTTCATACCCTGTGGTCAGATAACAAAATATCAGATAGCTGCAATTTTTTTTCTAAATAGTTTTTTTTTGCAATTACTGAAGAAATAGTGACCGAAAAAGAGCTAAATTTAGCTTAGAGATTTGTAAACTAGGCTTCTTTGTTTTTTATTTTAATTGTATTATGCGATAATTCTGTATTTTAATTGGCACTTGGATATCAAGATGATAGACACCTTAAAATACAATGACAGAAGAATTCACAATGGAGAAAGACACTGTCAGAAGTAGAGACAAAACTATTTTATCCATAACAGGTTAGGCACAACATGGGTAAGTACAATCCTGAAGAAAGCGAGATAATCCTACCCCTGTCATCGTTTAATGTCAAGCCATTATAATGGAGGAAGAAGGGAAATCAATGATATTAGATTATATGATTTTTATACTCAGTCATACAACTCATTCCTCTTACTTGAACCTCTGCACCATGTTTTCTCTATAAACACTTGCACCCACCGAATTTTTTGCGACGGTGTATTTCATATGGTCTATGTTGCAAAACCCCTTCTACACAGGTAACTCTTACATATATCCAGACAGTGATAGCAAACGTGCCATCAGCTTATTCTACAGAGTTCAAGGCACTGAAGCACTGATTCCCCTCACAGTTTTGCAATGTACCAGTAAACTACATTGCACTGGAACAAGGTGAGATTACATTTTCATTTTAAGTGCAAAGACCAAGGACTGAGGTTACGCCACCAGTGACATAAATTACTGGATATTAATAAAAGTGTGACTATTCAGATTCAAATGGAAATCAGCAACCCGGGAATTTTAATAACTTTTATTTTTTCACACATCTTAGAAAAGTGTTTCTAGTCAAATAATGAGCTGCTGGCACTGGAAATGCAAAGCTTCAGCCAGTTCCAAACTCTTTGCCTGGCTGACGAACTTTGAAAATATCAGCTCCCCTTTGGCCAAGAGCCAGAAACTCGACTTCCCCAGCCAAAAAGGCTTTCTTGCAGGGCCGGAAAATGTCAATGAACGTGCAGATCAGGACCTGGGCTCTCCTCCTACAGCCCTGTTTCCATTAGATGCCCTTTTCCTAATGCAAGGCAGAAAACGCAAGGGCAGCAGTGGAAGGGATCCCTCCACAACCCAGGTTGTGTCCTAGGGATTGGACTAGAGAGCATCATGTCTGGGACTCCTCTCCTCCTGGTCCACAGTACAAAGGGAATTGGGCACGGAGAACCTCCAAGATCCACTCCTTGCAGCTACCCACAGCCACTGTCGCCCTAGTAAAACTAGGGTGGCATTTTCAAACTTTTATTTGCGATTGTAAGTGTCAGAAACTTTCACTAAAAAGTAAGCGGAGTGTCTAACGAAATCAAACAGTGCCATGACCTGGAATCTAACCAAGAACATACATTGTCTATACTTACAGCTGCTTCCCTTTCAGTGAAAGCTATGAATTCTTCCACACTTACCAAAGCCTGCATTGCCCAGGGTTTAGTCACTGTATCTTTCTGGTCCTACCACTAGCCTGTAGTAAGGAAATTCCTACCTGTTTTAATGCCTTGATACATTGGAGCAGGAGACAAAGTCTTTTCCTGTGAAATGAATGTAGCCAGAATAGATATTCAAGCTGCAGCCTGAAACAATCCCTCCTGGCTGAGCAACCAAAAGGACTCTCAAACTCAGAGGATGAAGAGCTGCCAGGTGGCAAAGAGTCTCCCTACTGGAAAAAAAACACCCCCAGTTTTATGCTGGAGGAGGATGAGAAGGAAGAGAGAGAGCTTTCTTTCTAGTAAAAGTCTAATAAAGAACAGGGCCAAGCACAGTGGAGAAGGAAAAGATGGTCCAGTCCCCAGCAGACACAATGGGGATGAGCAGACCATGCTACCTTCTTTTTGAATTTAATTTCAAGGCAATGACTGAGTCATGATGTGAGTCTCCCAGTTGTTTCATTTATCTTGTATGGTTTTGGCACACGTGGAAACAAAGCTGGAAATCCCAGTATAAAATGTGCTCCTACTCTGATGGGGACAATCATCCTGCAAACATTCATTAGGACAACTCAGTGTAAGCCCTTCCCCATACAGTTGTACGAACACGGCACCCTGCTTCAGCTGTTGAGGAATAAGGTCAGCAGAGACTCTTACTTGCCTGAGGCTCTCCAGTATTACAACCCCAAGCAGTACAAAATTAAGAGAGAGATGTGCTTAAAAAAGAATTTATATTAATTATAAAACCAATTCATTTGTGGTTCTTGTCCTTCATGTTGTGTTTTCAGGATCTTTCAGCTACGCTTGCCCACGTGACCTCCTGGTTCTTAAAGCCTGCATTTGCAGAAACCCCAAATATCAAAAGCTTTTTAGCACACCTCTGAGAGCTGGCAGCATTTCACGTTTCTCATCTTTCTGGTATGTACCAACACCTAGGGGAGTATTTGCAAAACTCCGAGATCATCATCAACAGCCCTTCAGGGCTTTTCTAGCTATCAGGCTGTGGTTACTTTCTTCCTTCAAACTTGGCTTTACAGACCACTTGGTGGTCTGTGGCAAGCTGGCAGGTCATATGGTGTTGACTCATCTTTTTTGTTTCCAGATTTGTCTCTCAGACAGTCAGACACTCGGGCGAAGCAGCCCAGACCCTTACAGAAGAAGCTGGGACTAAGACGGAGGCACAAGCTGCTTATCTGTCTGTATTAGGAATTATTTCCTGAAGAGAGGTAGGGAAGAAAAACAAGTGCCATCCTGACAAAGAGAGACGCTAATGAGATGAGATACAGCAGATCCTCTGAAGCAACTGCAGTAGGTACCAGAGAGGGAGAAAGAAGGAGCAGGCAGGAGAAGAGCCTGCAGGAAAGCGAGGCAGATGAGGAGCCGGTGGAAGGGGACTGCACATGGGGCACAGAAACAGAGCTGACACAACAGTGTTTTAAAGGCATAGCAAAAAGAGATGTTCAGATTTTTTTCCACTACCATATCACATTAAGGACTGTTAAAAAAAAAAACCAAACAAACCCTCCTAATACTACTTTTCCATGTAAGCAATTGCAGTCGCTGCCACAGGGATGTTGTCTGATGACAAATGGGATATTGATTGGCAGGGGAGGTGGTACATGAGATAGGCTGTCTGTTAAGATGTGAACCATAGTTAGAGAAGTTTGAGAATCCCTGCTTTCAAGGCTATAAAGTTAACTATAGGTAAGAAACTCCACTTTTCACATTTTCTCCTAAATCGTGTTTTTAAGCTGCGAACATAAATAGGATCTTTATCAAGGACTTGTCAAATAATTTGTTTTAAGTTAAATCCTGAATGCTCAGGAAATGGTCAAGAATATAAAAGTAACTTTTTTATTATGGCTGCACCACTTGTCCCCTTATCCCCAGTAAAAGCAGCGATGGGTATTCATTAGTATTCCTGTTACAACCCTTACAGCTACGCTGCATAAGCCACTCTAGCTGTGCGCTAGACTCCCCATTTTATGCAGGATACTTAAAAGAAACATCATCTCATTGTGTGTATGACACGAAGAACACAGCAACTTTTGTCATACTTCAAAATACAAGAACTTAAAAAACATAAGAAATGTAAGAAATCTCTTTTGAATTGAATTGAATAAATGACATAAATCAAATAATAACATAGTTATTAGAGTTTTAAAAATCCCCAAGTGCTATGCTGATGACTCCATATATATCTAGAGGTGGTATTCAGAATTCATATAAGACTTGTGAAACATTGTACTGGCTCTTTTGTGCAGAACATAAGTTTCACAAATATAACAAAGTACACAAGAAAGTGCGGGATAATATACACACATTTTCTCTAGCTAAATAACTAAAGGTCATGTAATGCATTTGAAAAAGTACTTCAAAAGACCGTAACAGGTAAAAGTCTTACTAAACAAGCATTCATCCAGGACAGAAACAGTTTCTGAGTTATGTGTTTTTGTAAAACTATTTTAAAAAGTCAAACCACCTGAGCACATGAGAAAGTAAATACACCCTAATATTTGGACGCATGTGGCAAGCTCACTTCAAAGTACTGAACTTTAAAGTCTATTCATCTGTATTTCAAAACATAACACTGGATTCAAATCTACTTTAAAATCTGTTATTTCAGTTAAAGACAGGCTTCAAGTTTATAACATCAGATATACACATAACTTATAAAGACAATTTATCCACAAAGTAATTTGGACCAACTAATTTTTTTCCCCAAGGGACAGGAAGAACATTGTTTGGACCTACAATATTATTTATTTTTGAAGTATCAAAGCACCATTTGTTTCCAATTGATGCAG